AAAAGGATTGTGTTCGTCATATATTTATGATTGATCGAGTAGCTTTCTGGAGTTTTTTGTTCCAATGTAAAATCCTATTCTACTGAATTTTTTTAAGAGAAAAGATCACTTAAATCCATACATGATGATGCAATCTAGTGATTTTGACATAGAGAATGAATCTCTATTAAGGATGTTCTTGTTAGAAGTGACAACAAAGAGTCTTCTTATGAAACATCATTATGACTGAGGATTGCGCCGAAAAGTAGTTCTTCACTTTCATTCAGAAGTCGTGACGACTTCAACAACTGTAGTGAAAATACATATTAGAATAATAATATGTTATAAACTTTAGTAAACGTGTACAGTGAAATTCTCTCTCAGAAAAATGATTTATTAAATAATTCTTTAATTATACAATCAAAACTCTTCATGAATTTTTCAAATATACTGAAATAAAGTACACTCAACAGATATTTGTCATCATAACTTTAATTGAGAATTTCAATCAAATATTATCTTCCGTGTACAAGGCGTCCGAAAAGTTACCCAGCCAAAAGAAAATTATACATCTCGGTAGTTAAATCAAATCCAGTAACCGATTTTCTTTTTGATAATAGAAGAGACGTACACTTTTATTCATTGCATAAATACTTCTGAAAAATATAACCTCCGAGTCCAGTACATGAAAAACAAAAGATAAAACCTTTTGGCCTATTATTTTTATTTTTGTTCGTTACTCTAAACTTTTTGCAATCGAAATGTTGTTCTCTTACTTAATAAATAATCGCATGAAAAATTTGGAAAACTTCAAGTAATTAGTATATTTCTTCGATGTAATTATTTCCTTGCTCGTCAAAATCTTTGATAAGAAGTCGATTGATAAAGCTAACATGTCCCTAGAATTTCCACAGTAATCAAACATGACACTAATGTTTCTAATCTTTTCAAAAAATAACTCATATAAATATGTATAAGGTCAAATAAGAACATCAGCATGGGGGAAAATGCAGAATAACAAAGAAAAATTAAAACAGTTCAGCAGAAAACCTTGTCTTTTGTTTTTCGAAACTCGAAAAAAAAACGATATTTTTTAATATATTGGATCCAAAAGACATGATTTCCAGGAGTATTTATGGGTTGAACAGAAAATTTTCAAGCCGTTTCTATGATTAAGAAAAGAAGGCTACTTGGTTTTTTTTTGAACTGCAATGAGAATGCATAGTCCTTTTTTTGGATAGGTGACTTCTCAGAAACTTCGTATATCTATTGCTGATAGATAAATCTTTAAAAAAATGTTTTTTTTTCAGGATATGCAACGCTTACTCGAACGATATATTGAACCATTACGTGATGATTCAAAACTTTTGCCTGCTGATGCAATCGAATCGTTATATGTTAGTGTTAAATCAATTCATCAATTACAACAAACATTTCTTAAACGTCTTGAATCAAGTATTCCAACAGAAATACTTGCTTATAATGCTACTCATGAATTTCGTGTACGATTTATTTTTATGTTTATTATTATATAAAGTAAATTCAATTATCTTTCTAGGATATTCTTGTATCAATAGCTGATACATTTCTTTCATATTCTCAATATTTTAAATTATATTCAACATTTTGTGCTATGCATTTGAGAATAAATCGTTTACTTGATATTCATCAAAGTAATCAACATTTAAAAGAATTTCTTGCTGCACGTAATCCACGTCATCAACATTCATTATCATTTGAATCTTATTTAATAAAACCAGTTCAACGTATACTTAAATATCCATTACTTATACAACAAATGTTAAATTATTTAAATTCAAATGAAAATAATTCTCCTGAACAATTATTATCTATAGAAATATTAAAATTAAAACAAGCTATTACAATGATGAATAATATTGGTGAATATATGAATGGTATGCAACAACTTTATGAAGATTTCGGACAATCATTTGAATATATAACTAAAACTTACAGTGAAGAACATAATAAAGTATTGAGTTATTTATTTTTTTCTTAAGAAGGAATCTTTTTACCTTGAAAATCACTTTTGAGTTCAAATTGTATTCATAGGTTAGATTCCGATGATGTATTAAAAGCTGTGAAAGGGTTAGGACATCTAGGCCTTTTCTACAGAGTTCTAGACGTTTTACTGAGATTTTAGCTTATAGATACATATACTTGTAACTTAGATGTCCTAAAAATTTCAGCTAAAAAGTATGTTTGCTTCACAGGATATTGAATTCCTAAAAACCATGAAATTCTCGAACCTTTCGTGAAATATAAGTGATTTTTGGTAATTCACTATTTCATGAAGAAAACATTCTTCTCAATTGAAATTTTCAGTGTACTATGGTCTATCCATAGGTAAAATTTCAGAATGAAATATGGTCATTGAACTCTTTTATACATACTGTGCAATAGGCTAAAATTTTAATAAAATAGTTATAACTCTATCGAGATGACCTTCCTTATTCACAGTGTTCGAATTCAAAAGTGTTTGTCAAGTTGAAAAGTTTCTCTCATGATTTGTTTATTTTTCATGTTCTTATTTTTTTTCTATTAAGACTTTACAATTAAATTTACCTGATCTATGTGCTTATGGAGAAATTGATTGGATTAATATGCATTTGTTCCTTCTTGGAAAAAATCATCAACGCTTAAAAACATACTGTTTTGTTTTTCGCAATGGATGTCTTTTAATAGTACGTGAACAATCAAATAAGAAAAAACAAGTAAAATAAAAGCTTATTTATTTAATTACAAATAATTAAAATCAATATTTTTCTCTTTAGGATATATTATCGATTCACAAAGGAAATAAAATAATATCTGATCGATTTATTCGATTTATTCCAATGGAAAATATTAATGTTGAGTTAATAGAAAGTGATGATATTAAAGATAATAATATTCTTATGTGGCAATTAACTCAAACAGATTCAAAAACTCGTTTAAAAACATATTTTCGATTTGCTAATAAGTAAAAAATTGAATTAATTTTTTTTTAGATTATTTTGTTTTTTAATACCAAAAAAAAAAAATTTTCTATTTTATAGAGATGCTCAAACATTTGTTAAAACAATTGATAATTGTATTGCTTCAATAGCCACAACAGTCGAATGGCGACAAAATTCATATGATCGTACAATAACAAGTATACGTAATTCTGAACCATCATATTTAACAAAGAAGACTTCTTCGCAACGTTTAGCATCAAGTCGTTCGTGTAATGTTTTATTAACATCAAATTCAAGATCATTAAATCAAAAGTCTGATAATAATCGACAAAGTCCATCACCTATTTGGAAACGACGTACAACACCAATTCGAAGACAACCGTTATCAATGAATATTCGACAAAAAACATTAAGAAATTCGACTGATTGTTAATAGTTGTTTTATTTTCTTTTTCTTTTTTCTTTTTCATGCGTTATTTTTCTATAGAGTATATTTATGCTGTCGTGTTTTTTTCAATCATCTTGGTGCTTTGTACAAATTATTTATGTACGAAAAACAACTGATCTTAGATTTCATAGAATGGATAAATTTGATTTTGATGTTGATGAAGATTGAGATGAATATATAGTTTTAGAAGATTGTATGTTTAATGATGATTGTTTTTGTTTGAGATTTTCGATATTAGTTGAAATGTTCCAATTAATAATATTATTAGTAGATGGACTGAGTGATAATTCGCTGTCCAATAGATTCGTATCAGTAGTTGGAATGTTCGATCTTTTTCTTGATAAATAAGAAGATTTTACGAGTTTTATTAAAAAAAGAAAACAAAAGACAAGCAATATAATAAGCGTTTTTCGTTTAAAGCGAGAAATCAGGATGATGCTATTTTACAAATATAAATCAATCAATATACTAAGATGAAAAGTAAAACTGATATTATGCAATCTGATTTATGTTGGTAGCATCTAGCTATGCTCTACGCATCTTAATTTTTTGTCGTTGTCAGGGGTTTCTAAATCTTCTGAAAAGAAAGAAAAGTTTTTGAAGTTTAGATTTTTTTTCTAATTTTTAAGATTTTCTAGGATTTTGATTTCCCAGTGCTTGCCTAATATGTATAACCATTTATTATTACTGAATATATGTCGGGTGTGTGTATAATTTGTCTTTGTTCGTTTCACTTGTATTGTGAACATACTTGTTAGCCGATAATTTTCAGCATTGTAGAATACGGTGTCTCGAAGAAATATTATTTGCCATTGGTGCTTCTACTGGAGGTCTAATTTTTCACCAACATTCTTTTATATGGTGATTATCAAACGTATAGGAGACTTTTAGAGAAGCATTCTGGCAAGGGCACTTATATGATGTCTTATGACGAGAGCCTTATCGAATTTTTGACATTTTTTTAAATTTCAGTACAAATTCTGCTTGAAACAAAGTTCTTTCACATCTTACTAGAAGATATTGCAAATATTTTTCTTGTAAAGATCACTGAAAAGAGTATTCTGAAAAAGATCTTTCTAGTATACAACGTACAATAATTCTCACCTAGATTTTTCACAGCCATTGCCAGGAGACAAAAACTTCGATAACAATTGCTTTTTCTTGCTAGGTCATATCACATGCCAAAAAAGAAAAACATTTTCGAATCGCTATTGTAGATACTTCTTCCATAATGACTCATTTATTGACGCCCATAACCGTATCAACGAACATGTCTAATTGTATAAGTAATCGACTTGACTGAACAATATTATGCCCATAGGAAAATATATCAAACAGTCTTTTCGATTTCAAACAAAATAATTCTAGTTATTTCTGATATTTATAATCAGTATATATATGTGACTTTTAACTTTTTGCTCTGACAACTCTGATCGTCATTTATTACTGTTCTGCTTCTAACAAACTAATACGTGGTAATAGAAATCTAAATTATTGTGCTGTGTCAAAAAGGTGTCTTGTTTACTTTTTACATGGTTTTTATCGCATTTGAATTTGAGAATCTTTAAGGGATTGCATTGAGTATTTTTACTTTCAAAAGTACAAAGAGTAACTTACTCTGTATTTTCAATAGTTAATATAATAGGTGGAAGTGTTTTTGGAAATTTTGAATTATGTTTTGTAAAATAAGTAAGTTTTTTCTGATTTATTTGAGATTTATTTATATGAGATGATGAATCTTTTGAAATAAATATATGATTATTCATTTTTGAATATTTTTCTTGTAATTTAATTGATTTACAAGATAATCGATTATTATTATTATTATTATAGACTAAAACTGATGAATTTGCAGATTTATTATTAATTTTGAAATTTTCATTAGGTGAAAATTGAAAATTTGATTTTTTTGTTTTAATTTGTATTGAATCTGGATAACGTTGTAATTGTTGTTTAAGTTTACAATGTTTATCAAAAAATAATTTTTGTTCATAACGATTAAGAAAAGCTTTTGCATTAATTAATTTTTGACTAAATTTTAAATTTTCTTTTTGAATATGTTCATAGAGAATTTTTCGTTTATCTTGTCGATATTGTAAATTACTTTGACGTTCGAATAAATAATTATTATTATAATATAATTGATGGTTTTTCTTCGACAACTTTTCTTTTAACATATTCATTGGATTAGTTTTATTCATTTGAAGAGTTTTTAAAAATTTTTTATATTCATATTCATGAATTTTTTGATATTCTAAGGATGAATAGGTTGTAGTAAGAGAATTACAAATACGAAATGGCATTATATATTATTGAATAAACAATTAGTAAGTTGAGATATATATTTTGGCGCCAATAAAATGAAATACTTTTACTTACTAGCGACATAAACAAATTGTTTTCTTTTTATATTTTGAAAAGAGGACAATGTAGAGCAACTAACAGGTAAATGTCGATACAATAAGAATATTTTCAAAAAAAAATAAAACTTCATTTGTCGCCTATTTCAATCTTCATCGATTATACAATGTCACGAGCAGCTGGAACTTTGCAAACAACTTACAATGCTAGTATGTTTTTTTTTACGGTAGACAATGCAAAAAAGATCATGTGATATTTTAATTTCTCTATTAGCTTATTATCCACCATCGCTTATGCCAGGATATAAAGGTAACTTTTTATAAAACAAAAAGAAAAATTAGAATAAGAAAGTTTTTTTGTGCATTGAGGTCATGTTCCAACTACACAATTTCAATATGGTGAAACATTTGGTAATGCAACAGCAAAATATTTTCAAGATTATCGAAGTGAAGCATTGAATTCATCACAAAGCCTTTATGCAAGAGGTTAGTGTTTCTTTTTATGTCTTTAAGGAAGAATGTGCAGTTCCAATAAACTGTTCACAGAAAACTCACACTGACTACAATGAATCAGTGTCCACTAGTTTATCTGATATATCCATACAGTGTGGATGTGTTAATGCTTCAGTGAACATTAATTCAGTGTAGACAGTGTGTCCGCATTCCAGTATTGTCACTAAAATTGCACATCCGGATCTTTCAGTCTTTTACTTATCTTAGGCGGTTATTTTCCAACTCCATATACTCATCAACCAGAACTTGTTATGAGTGATCGTCGTCGTAGTCGTGATCAATATCTTTATATACCAAAGTATGCACTTAACAATACAAATGTTGATCGAACAAATGAAATACGAAAATTTCATCAAGTTAATTGCTTATATTTCTTTTTAAAAAAACAACATCATCTTTATTTGTTTCAGCTTTCACAAGAACATCGAGATACATATATAGATCGTAGTGGTACATTACATCCAGTTGAACATTTTACTTTACCTGTACCAAATGAAAGAATGTATGAAGCAAATTTACCATAGTAAGTGAAAATTTTATTTTAATTGAAACCTTGTTTCATTTTTGTTTTTTGTTATGTCTAGTTCTTCAATGTTACTTCGTCATACATCTGATATAAATATACCGGTTGATCGAAATTTTCCTCCAGTCAAAGACGTAGCTAAACAATCGGAATTTCATTTATTTCCTTCAACAGGATCAAACCCAAGTAATAATGCATCGCAACAACAACAAAACGTTGTAAATGCATCACCAACTGTCGATTATCTTTGTTGACGATGATGCATATGGAAAATAGAAAAAAAACAATTGAACAGAACTTTTTTTTTTTTGCTTGAATTTATTTTTTTTATTTTGAATTTTAATGAAACAAACAGACTATCATATCCTTATTATTAATCAGTAATTTATTTAACTAATAAAAAAATAAACATTAAAAGAAAATGTCGATCAGCGTGTGAAGGACGAAGATTAATAGACGTTAATAATTTGTGCAAAATAATATTTGATTACATTATAGGACAGAATGAAAAAAAAAGTAATTAGCGTACTAATATTGATTTTTTGACAGGTGTGAATAGTTGTAAATTAAAATATTTCATGATGAAGGATATTGTTTTCCTCTAATTGATTCGTTTTTAGTGAACTTATTTTCGAAGTCATGTCTATGTTATTGTCAATTATACTAAATGACGTATTGGATGAAATAGTGCTCATTGTTGATGGAGAACTTGTCATAAATTCTCGTATAATAACCAATCGTTCTTTCTGTTTTTTTATTTGAGAAGAAGGACGAGTTGATTTTTCATTTTCTTTCTCTGAGTTTGCTTCTTCTTTTATTGAATTAAAGTCACTTGATGACAATAAAGTTTGACTGTGCTCCTTAATGAGTGAAGGAGAACAATTGGATGATGTTTTAAAGCTTGAAGCTAATGTAGAAGCTTCACTATTCGATTTTAAATAATGATTAACAAGATAAACAGAAGGTAATTCTTGTGGTTGGTAATTATATTGAAAGTTAATATTACGAGCCTCGTCAACTAATTGTTTAGGAATATCGTTTTCTTTGGACTTAGATGAATGCAATGTTATTTTTTGATATTTGACAGTCAAACCACTTGTTGTAGTACTTGATGAACTTTTCGATATGATACCATTTGATTGAATAGATCCTTCATTCTGAGTTTCATGATTATAATTTTTGGTTGCTCTTCTTGGTGATACACTTCTATTAACTTTTATAGCGGCTGGGTTTGCTGTGGTTACTGTCCGTGATGCTACAGTTGTGGATCGTTCCTCTGGATAATAACTATGTCTAGGTTGCCTTTTTTTTCTTCGTGAACGATCATGTCGTGAAGAATACCCGTTGTTAGTAATATATTCATCTGAAATAAGAATAGCACCGGGTGGAAGTGGCGGTGTCTTTCGTAGCCAAGGACGCATCAAAATTGGCGCCTCATTTTGAAAATATTTTTGTTCTATTGTCTGAGCAGGTACATATTGTGGTACTGTTGGATAGCGAAGCAATGGTGTAATTCGCCCTCCAGAAGGTCGCACATTTGGATTAGTAATAGAAGTAGGTACATGATGACAAGCAGCACAATGTTGTACCCAACAGTGACCAGTGACTGATATGTTAAGTGCAGGTGGTACTGGTGGACATGCACGGCATATGCTTGGATAACTGCTATTAAAATATTGAGGTAATGATGAAATTGCATTAACTCCTGATAATGGTAATTGTAAAGATGGTGGTGATAGCATGCATTGATCCATCGGCATGCTAGGAGGAGGAGGAAGGTATAATTGTGGTGCAGGTGGAAGAGATGGAAAAGCTGGCATCAGAGTAGGAATGCAGGATTGTGGAGCAGTTGGAAATGACGGAAAGACTGATATAGGTACCATAGGTTGCGCTTGACAAAATTGTGGATAACTGGGCATCATCAGTTGAGGCATTTGCCAGCTAGTCGTATAAGGTAACACAGCAACAGGATTGCTATAGCGTTGTATAACCATTTGTTGAACTGCAGGTGTAAGAGGCAATGTTCCTAGTTGCGGTAATGGTGGCGGTAGTGGAAATGTGTATAAAGGTTGTGCTATACGATTGTAAAGAAAAGGTGGCGTCGTCTGAAATATACAAAGTTTTAGTTTTAACATATTTTTAAAAGTGATTAAATGAAATACTCACCAAGGGGCCTATCCATGGTTGCTGTAAAAATGATTGACCTGTTGGTATGAAAATGACTCTGATTTTTGGTAGCAAATTCATACCATGACTTGCTCCATAATTAAGACCAACAGGGTAATCTATATTCGGAGGAAAACCAAGACCTGAATTTATAAGAGGAGCATAGCGTTCCGTGGCAGAATTCATCAATACTGGTATTGGTATATATTTTGTCTCTTTTTCATATTGATATACTGTGCCATAATGATCATTTGGAGTTAATGATGTATAGTTATTGCCTTGAAGTCCTTTATACTGCCCTTGTATTTTTCTTAATCTACGTAAGTATTGTTCATATCGATACTGATCATCTAATTTATATAAAAATCTTTCAAATTGACTACCAAAACTAGATTGTTGATCTTGGTAGAGACCAGCTGTTGTATAACTTTTCGTAGGATAGAGAGGTGGTTGAAAAAATCGCGGAGTTGGGTAGTGAGGTGCGAAAGATGCTCCGTACCTTGGATATCTATCATTATAATATCGATTGTGAGTCTGATTGGGTGAACTAAACTGAAAGGAGGGAAATCCTCCATAACCACGTGGCATCAGTGTCGTCATTCTAGTTGATTTTTATTCTATTACCTAATAATTGATGTCATAATACATAGTTTATCAGCAAATGAATCAAAACAATCTATAATAATCAAATATTATTACTCGGATTTAATTATGTTAAGAAACTAATTTAACATAAATGATTTAATGAACCATATTGATTTATTTTTTGACGGATATTACTGGCCTTGAGCAGACATTTGAAATTGATGTGTGAGTTGATACAATATCTATGAGCAAAACATTATCGCAGCATCAGACTACCTACCTTCTTTTTTTTCTGTGTCTTTTCTACCTTTTACTAATGCTTGAAACATACGTTTGATTAAATATTAGAACTGAATACAAGACAAGCACACACAAAAAATTATCAGTGAGAAAAACGCAACATTGCAAGGACAAAATAAAACATCAGCCAACCAAGACGTACATAAAAACAAGCGAATGATCAATCGTAATGAAAATTTTGTTATGCCATAGAGAAAAATAAACGAGTGGAGAAATGACAGCAAAGAAAACAAACCAGATGATATATATGAATATATGACATATTTAAAGCAATAAATAAATACGAGCAGGCAAGCGTGACTATTATCATTTTTCTGTTATAAAACATGACACCTTTGCAAAAAAAAAAACTTCTATTCCATGTTTACGAAAAATTGTGATCAATGATATTATATTTAATTTATCATGTTCTCAATATCGCTTATTGATTGTATGTATTAAGGTTTACTATTTATAGAAGATAATCCGAACAAGGTTACAAGTTATAATCAACTGACGAATGTCATTGAAATGTTAGATCAAATGTACAAATGTGTTGAATCCAAAAGAATGACAATAAATGAATCAAAGACGGATACATTTATTTTACATCATCTATCGGCTTTTAACGTGCTTTAAAAAAAAACAGGGAGAAAAAGTAAAGAAAATTCAACAATATTCATGTTTGCAAACGTATATGTAAACTCTAAGCCAGCTCGACCTTTGCTATTGTTGAACATACTTTGTGGTATTAGAAAAAATAGTGAACAAAGAGAATTATCGCAATGATATGTGGAACTTTTACATTGTATATTTAATACCTAACATGATCTTTTCAATGTCACCTCCTAGTAAATCTTGCCTCGTAAATTCTTTTCTTTATTCTTATGTGACAATTGAACAAAACATAAATGACTTTTACTAGTTCAATTCGTAATCTGTACAACATACTATCATTTCGAGAGTTGACAGACGAAAAAGAAGAAGACGAGAAAAAAAGGATAGGTGATCTTTTCTTTCTCCTGTACTCATTGTTCTTTCTTTTCCTCTTTTGTCTCTTGTCAATTCTTCTTCTCTAATATATGTATATATATATATATATACGCCGGACATTGGAGCTCCTTCGCCTCTCTTCACAATTAAGATCGAGTGTAAAACAAACAATCACATATACACACAAAGCAGAGGGAATACACGAAAAACGAAGAAGACAAAGAGAAAGACAGAGAGGGACGCGAAGTATGCGCATGTAAAGAGGGAAATTCGAGCAATTGAATCCGCACACACAACAACTTGATTAGGCCGCTGTCGCCGGTCGTCGTCATCGTCATCATCATTTTCTTTTTCTTTTTTGTATTGATTAATTGAATAGCTTCGAACGATGTTGAAATTGTGGTATTATTCTTCTTTTACCATCCTTATATACCTAATTACAGGTGTGTTATTTTTTTCTTTTTCTTTTTATTGAAAAGCCTGTTTTTCTTTCTATCTTAAAAAGATTTAATTAATGCTCAACATCATTCAGTTTATATTCCAAATTATCTTCAAGCATTAGATTATCCAAATGTTGATGAAACACAATCACCACACCAACAGCAAGAACAATCTGATTATCGTTATAACGATGGTTTTGATCCATTTCAATTTGATTTTTTTCAAACAACAACACCATCAATTCAATTTCTATTTGATACATCAACAATTCATGATGATATAATTACTGATGATTCAATAACAAATTTAACATCAACAATATTAACTTCTTCAGATTCAACGATTACAACAGATATCATTTCTACAACATTAAACTCAACATTATTAACAACTGAACAGATGACATCAATACAAAACAGTACTTATTCATTCATATCAACAGATACTATTCTATTCAATAATGAAACTTCTTCTTCAAATGAAATAATTCCATCATCTACTGATAACAATACATTATTATTAACGTTGAATTATTCAACAGACAATGAATCAATATCAACACACGAACAAATTAATGAAACAATAGAAAATATTTTTAATAATACTTCTACGATAGGAACATTTGTAAAAAATAATAGTGATTTAATTATTAATTTATTAAATCGAACTTACTTTCAAGGTAAAAATTTAGTTAATCATAAACAATATGATATTTATAATACAACTCCTGAAGAAGCAGCACGACATTTAACTGATAGAAAAACTATGCAATCACTGATACATTTACTTCCACCTAATTTATGGTCACAATTACAAAATAATTTTTCAGCTATTAATTTTAATCAAACTCAATATATGCAACCATCATTACCTGATCCTGTAATACTCGCTGAAGCAGCAGCACAAGCCGGTTTACCTGGTCCAGGACCATATCCAATACCTGATCATCTTTGGCATCAAAATCCAAATAATTATCGAAACCCTTCACAAACTCTTAATAATATTGCAATAAGAAAGCCAGCAATAACTTGTAAATTAATCTTTTTTTAAATTCATAATTTTGATTTTTTTATGCTAAGTTTTCTTATTTCTAGCTTCAACAACAACATCGACAACGAAACTATTACGAGCATCGCCATCAAATGTATTTTTTAAATTATCAAATACACAAGCACCTTACCAAACAAAACCAATATCAACAAAAACAAGTACTAGTTTTCGACTATTTCATAAATCGAATGAAATTCGATCGGGATCGTTTATACCTAATAAACACTTACCACCACCATCACCACCACCACCACCACCACCATCACCACCGTCTCCGTTACCAAATGCTAATATTCAATCATTACTTGCACAAATTGGTTTTACTTGTCCATCAGGTGTAACTGGTATTCGTTTTCCTGATCAACGTTTATGTAATATGTATTTTACATGTACACAATCAGGTTTACCTGAACCATCACTTTGTCCAGAAGGTTATCTTTTCTCTGAAATATCTCGTGATTGTGAACTTGCATCACATGTTAATTGTGGATCACGTTTATCAGCTTTTTTCGATGCTGATAATAATAATAATCATAATAATAATAATCATAATAATAATAATCATAATAATAATAATCATAATAATCATAATAATAATAATCATAATAATCATAATAATAATAATCATAATAATAATATAAATACTGACAGTAAAATACTTTTTACCATAAGAACAACGACCACGACCACGACCACGACCACGACCACGACCACGACCACAACCACAACAACAACAACGACGACGACGACTACAACTACTACTCGAAGAACAACCCCATCAACTTCTTCAATTCGATTACAAGCTAATATAGTTAATGGAACATTAGAATGTGTTTTGGGTGCTGATGGTTATTATGAAGACCCATTGTATTGTAATGTATATCATCATTGTCTGGCTGGTATTGATTATATTGAACATTGTCCAAATCAATTAGCTTGGAATGAAAAAAAGAAAATGTGTGATTGGTAAATACACCAATCCTAACATTACGTTTATTCTTTTATGCTAAGTTCTATTCTTTTTTTTTGTTAAAGGACAACAAATGTGAATTGTACAGGTAAAACTATGCCTGTTGTTCAAGGTAAAACATCATTTTGTACAAATCGACAAGATGGTCGTTACGGATCTGAAACTTATTGTAATGCATTTCATCATTGTATTGGTGGTACTGATCATATTGTACGATGTACTGGTGAATTACAATGGGATGATAGAAAAAAAGAATGTGGTTGGGAATCATCTGTTCGTTGTGGTCCACCAAAAAAGATGTTACCTAATGAAAATAAATTTAATTCAACATTTTGTACAGGAAAAACAGATGGGTAAGAGGATAAAGAATGAAATAAAACTCGATGAATACTGAATATTATTATGCTCATTTTGACATTTTATGCATAAAGTTTCGTAATTATAATGATAGGTTCCTTGTGATAGAAGATTTCATAATGATATTTAAATAAAAATGGATATTTTAAATCGAAATTCTATGGATATTCTTGTGTTTTTTCGTATTCTGATGATTGAAAAATCAATGTTAATTTAGCTGTATAAGATAAGATTTCTAAGAGTTCTATGTAGTAAAAGGTATCATACAATAGTACAACTTACAGTGAAATTTTGTTTTCGCTTTTAAGATTACGCAAAATACAAGTTTTTTTTAAACTCATCTATTGATCCATTAATGTTTCGAACGGTGGAAAGCCGCAATGATTCTGGTGAAAATCTATGACAACAATTACTTTCTCTCAAATGTAAACCTCACGTTATTTTTAGTGCTCTCTCTCTCTGTGTATGTGTGTGTGTGTGTAATAAAAATTTTCGGCTGATTACGACAGAAATAAACTTAATTGATTTTACTTATCTTTTAAAGAATGTATTCTTTTGTTTTTCGAACTCTACTAAAAGTATTGCATTCAGGGGGATCCTCTCGATTCGTCCCTGATTAGAAAAATTCGTCTCTAATTTCAAAGAAACATCACACACACGGCAACTGCGGGTGAGGGCAATTAGGGACGAATCGAGAGTAAACCGCATTCAGGATATCCTGCTATTATTGTCCATTTCAGGGTTACGTGGACGTGGGCATATTTTGAATAGTTTTAAAACAACAAGGAAGAAATAATTTGGTTTTTCAGCATTATCTAGAGTCGACATTACTCTATCTTTTTGCAAAGTCAATGAAAAATCTCAGTTACTTTTCTTCTTGGATACGTCCTATGCTTTATAAACGAACTTAACCTGTCATGAAAACAAAACACTTTCTCAACTATAAGATAATGGACAGATAGTCCAGCTTCTCCCCTATAGATCTATACAAGATCGAGATCAATAACTGTCTGCGTCCAAAAAATATATAGATTTTACTGAAGACTAGCCATCGAATTTTCTTAAAATTCAACCAGCTAACTAAATATTTTCTTTTAATAAGTTCTTAGTCGCCGTTAACTTCATGACATCATTTGTTAACCTTGGGAGATTTTTTTCTACTAGAAAAGACATCGAAAATTATACATTGAGAGGTTTGCGTGTGTGTGGCATAGAAGAAAGGGTGTGTTGGCGTGGGGGAGGGTGCGTGTGTAGATGTGGGTGTGAGTGGGTGGTTGTTGGTGTGGGTGTTCGATCTGAGATGTGGTAACTCCCTAATTTGAAGATGCTTTCCATCTACATCTCTACCCCACACCTTCAGGTTGCTCTCTGGTTGTCTGTTTACGAGAATATGGATCTTCCAGTATTGTTTCCAAACAAAGTAAAGTCAATGCTATCTACATATCAAGACAGATGTAGATCAATTCAAAAATAAGTTAGTTTGTCAGAAAGCAATATGTTATTTATCCACACAGGGGTCTGCACTGCTTATGTAATAGAATCATATTATATGAAATTATTTCGTTATATACTATTACATAATAGGTTATCAATTGAACTAACTTGAAGATATTGACTTATTATCATGAGAATAAATTCAATGTATGGTTTTTGATGACGTTTCTAGTAGAAAAAAATCTCCCAAGGTTAACAAATGATGTCATGAAGTTAACGGCGACTAAGAACTTATTGAAAGAAAATATTTAGTTAGCTGCTTGGATTTTAAGAAAATTGGATGGCTAGTCTTCAGTAAAATCTATATATTTTTTGAATGCAAACAGTTATCGATCTCGATCTTGTGTAGATCTGTAGAGGAGAAGCTGAACTATCTGTCCATTATCTTATAGTTGAGAAAGTGTTTTGTTTTCATGACAAGTTAAGTTCGTTTATAAAGCATAGAACGTATCCAAAAAGAAAAGTAACTGAGATTTTTCATTGACTTTGCAAAAAGATAGAGTAATGTCGACTCTAGATAATGCTGAAAAACCAAATTATTTCTCCCTTGTTGTTTTAAAACTATTCAAAATATGCATACGTCCACTTTACTCTGAAATGGACAAGAGTAAAGCACAGCAACTTCTAGGTACTTTCTAGGTTATAGAATTTGATTCTAAAATACTTCGAAACGTTCAATCTGCTAACTGATTGAAAATTGTTGTCATAGAATGCTATAGAAACTGCCTAGGTACATGATAAGTACCTATGTAATGAGAAAATTCTCAGCAGGGTATCCGGAAAGGTACTCTGCTGACAACTGACTCAATATATAGGTATCCTTGAACTAAACACATCCGCTAGAATGATTATAATAATTACATTCCGTTAATTTGTACTGTGTAAAATATTTGACATTGTTATTATTTTTTTAATGTTTTATTTACATAATATAGATCATATCCACATGAAGAATATTGCAATGTTTATCACGTATGTGAATCAGGTGCCGATAATATGCGTCAATGTCCACATCAATTATTTTGGGATAATGAACAACAAAAATGTGAATGGTCAAATAATGTTCGTTGTACAGGACGTACACTTGTTGCTCTTTCAATGGAATCAAGTTTATTTTGTATGGAGAAAACCGATGGATTTTATATCGATCCAATTTGTAAATTTTATAGAAAAAAGGTTTTTTTTTTGTTAAATTTTTTCTTTTTTTTTGCAAATATAGATTGCAATGTTTATCATCAATGTATGGCTGATATTGATGTTAAATTACGTTGTCCGGAACGTTTAGTATTTAATGAAACATTAAAACGTTGTGATTGGCCGGAATCAACAATTTGTAAAGGTGGAAATATATTACTTGAAGGAGAAGATAATAATGGATTTTGTACAGATAAAGTAAAAAAGAAACAGTTAAATGAGGGTTTTATTTTTTGAAATAAAAATATTTTTTGTTCTTTAGCCAAATGGAAACTTTGCTCATGAACAATATTGCAATCGTTATTATATATGTCAAAATGGAAAAGATGTTGTATTTACATGTCAAAATAATTTAAGATATTCAGCCGAAAAAAATGAATGTGATTGGGCTATTAATGTTGATTGTAATGGTAAACCAGATTATATGTGGGAAGGTATTAAAGAGAATTTTTGTAAACGTTTAGTATGTATTTTATGATTTTATATTTTATAATGGTTGATTCTTTTATTTTTTTGTATAGCCGGACGGAAATTATCCAGATATTAGATTTTGTAATATATTTCACCAATGTCAAGCAGCTATGGATTATCCAAAACGATGTCCAAATAGACTTATGTTTAATGAAGAAACAAAAGAATGTGATTGGGAAGATAAAGTTGATTGTAAAGGTCGAGAAAAATTAATTGGTTTGTTAATATTTTTTCTACTTCTATCCAAATTTTATTACATTAAGAGATTTTTGAATATAGATACTGAAGGCCTTGATGATGAAGTACGTCCAGGCACAAATAATACTCGAGGACGTTCAACTAAATTTTGTATGGTAAAACAAAATGGTGACTATGCTGATTCATATTATTGTAATGTTTATCATAATTGTCATGGCGGATTTGATACTATTCAATATTGTACAAGAGGTTTAGTAAGTTAAATAAAAACTGTAACCGTCTGAACATGAAGTTTTGCAAAGATGACCAAAGAAAATCTAGGTTGACTCATAAAAGCCTGAATTTGAATATATACATTAAAAGAAAACAACAGATTGCATTAACTTTCAAAAAATAACATAAGGTTCAGTACTTGAACAGTTGAGTAGAGAATGTAATGCTCTTCGCCGAAAAGTATTTCATTGAAAGACTCGCGGAATACTTTAGACTATTGCGAGTCCTTCAATTCGTATACAGGCTTGTTAAGCCTGAAAAGTTCAACTCATTTTGCCCTCACCTTTGCAGCGTCCTCTGTGGCCAAAAAACACTTTCGCAGAAGTGTTTTTCGGCGAAGAGCATACATCCATTCATTTGATGAATACTAGTGAGTAATAGAAAAGTCTCGAACAGTTTGCTTTTCTGGATCTGTCTTCTTGAGATACAGAAATTTTAGTGAGATCTTCAATAAAAAAATTGTAGTTCCCGTCAGGTCATATGAGAAGTTGACTTTCGTGTTTCGACTTCAGACTTTTCAAGAAAACAAAATTTTCAATGACATGAGTTCATTGGATAAGTTCTAATATTTATAGTGTCTCCTATTATGAGATATCCCATATTCGAAACTACCGTATGTGCAAAAAAATAATTTTTGTTAATAGATTTACATCTCTAGAAAGAAAAGACCAGAAGAGCTAAAGCTTGCACAATCATCTAATCCCATTAAAAACTTTCTTGCGTAAAGCTTGAAGTCAAAACTCTCACGAGATCTGAGAGACCACAACTTTTCTTGAAAAAAACTCAATAAAATTTCGTTTTCTCAAGAGCAAAGATTCGAAGAAACGAAATCATTCCCAATTTTTCTATCATTCACTAGTACTTATTATATATACATCATCTCGATCGACTAGCGATTTGATATCTAGAAATGTTTCCTCATTAAATGAACATATTTAACAGTTTTGATTGATTGTAGGTCTGGCGTCAAGAAAGTGAAACATCAGGTAGATGTGATTGGTCTAAAGAACGATCACCGAATGGAGCCGATTGTAATGGAAAAGCTTTGTAAGATAAATCGATCAAAATAATTCCATTGTATAATTTGAACTTTGTTGATTTGTGTATAGATTTTTTGTTGAAAAATTAGCTGAAAATGATATATTATCAAACTTACGTTCAGAATTTTGTATAAGTAAAGGAGCTGGTCTATATGAACATCAACGTTATTGTGACCTTTATTTACAATGTAATGAACAAGGTGTTGGTGTAACAATGGAATGTAGTCGTATGTAGAATTTTTTTTCTGTCATATTAATAAATAATTTGTTTTTCATTGGGTTTTCTTTGTTAAAAGCTGGTCTTGTTTTTAATGAGAAGAAAAAAGAATGCGATTATCAAGGAGATGTTAGTGATGAAGCAAAAGGTACATTATGTTTAACACCAAGAAGTTTTCTACGTTCGAAACCAAAATCTGAACAAGCATCGATATTATTCGAAGGTGTTGATGCTACTGGACAATTTCCGTAATAAATTAAAAAGAAAGAAAATTTTCGATTTTATATTTGTGTTTTTTTTTCAATTTAGAACTCGTTTTGATTGCATAAACAAAGATCAACAAAATATGTTTGCTGATTTAGATTGGTGTAATATTTATCATGTATGTATTGGTAATCGTGATAATATATTTTTATGTCCACCTGGTACAATATTTAATGATACAAAACAAGGATGTACGGATCGTTTTGATGGAACAAATTGTAACGGTACACGTTCTTATTATAAACCACTAACAAGACGTCAAAAACGTATTGATTTATCATTAATATCAAAAAAAGTACCAGAAAATAATTTTCATTCGGCAAATCTAAAAAAATTACCATTTAATAATTATAATCAACGAATCCCATTTGAATGGAGAAAACCACAAAGATCAAGACAGGTGAATTCTTTTTTTTTTTCGTTTATGAATATTTAAGAACCTTTTTTTTCTAATTTGACTTTATTATAGTTTGATGATAACTTTTTTGAATGGCGACACCATCCTCCATATTAATTATTATTCTATTGCACAAAAAAGACGAAATGATTTTTATTAACTATTATTTCTTTTTTTTTGCTTGTTTTATGTAGTTTTTTCGTCTATTTCATCACCTGCACGTGAATAAACCGAAACAGTTTTTTTTGTTTTCTTATTATTGAATAGACCGAGAAAAAAAAACAGCGGCAAAGAAGAGACGACTGACAAATACTAGTATCTTTCTATCTTTTATTATACTGATGTTATATATTCAAATAATTTCATAAACAAATTTAGCGAGAACAATTTTCTTAATCTATTTGAAATTTTTACGAATCACCGGTGGGCCATAATGAATGTCCCACTTTTGCATTTCATTTTTCTACAATTTAATACGTTGTATTAAAAACACAATATATGCCATAAGATTCAGCATGAAAAGCTCCACAAGTTATATAGGACCACTTTTTTACAGTTGCGCTTTTTACTTTACAAGTGGTCAAAATTTAAAACGATAAAATTTCGACTATGCGAAAATTGATCGTAGAGAATTTTGATTTTTTACGAAACAATTACAATAAGCTGGCTCCTATAAAATGTAGAGGTTCTCTCGCTGCATCTAATGATATATTTTTGTTTTTTTTTTAAATAAAAGATATCGGGTGATAAAAATATGAAATAAGAAAAAACAATCCATCTTGTACAAAAAAAAATATCGTTTTCGTATGGTCGAAATTTGATTGCTTAGCTGATTTTGAAAACAAAGAGTGCAACTATGAAAAAGTGGTGTTTTGTAAACTGTAGAGTTTTTCAAGCTGCATCTAGTAGTATATTTTGTTTTCTTTTTAAATAGAATATATCAGGTAATAAAAAGATGAAATGAGAAAAAACAAATTCATATTTTACCAAAACAAAATATCGTTTTCGTACCATCAAAATTTGATCGCTTCAAATTTTGTCGATTTTGAAAGCAAAAAGTGCAACTGTAGGAAAAGCTGTCTTGTAGAAATTGTAGAGCTTTTTACGCTGCATCATATGATACATTTGGCTTTTTAATACAACGTATTAAATTATGAAAAAATGGAATGCAAAAATGGGACATTTATTATGGTTCACCCGTTATTATGCTCATTAAATATCACTCGACATCATTGGTTAAATCTATTGATAAGAAAATTTTAAGGATATCATGAAAATAGTCTGTTGGAAAGTGTACTAAATAGAAAAATATCTCATTAAAAACTATACCAACTTGTTGTATCATCACTTTCGATTCGTACTAGTTGATATGAATATTGATTTATGATGTAAAAGTACGTTTAATGGCAAACTTGATTATTGATAGAACATTTTGTACATTTAAAATTGTCAATACAAAAATTATTTTATTTGATTAGAAATTATATGTTAACAATTGATATGGAAATGAATAATTTCATAAGTCTGTTGTTTAACTAAAAGTTTAGTTTCGTTTTCTTTTGATAGAAAAGCTAATATGTTTCAATTGAAAAGTGCATCTATCGATCGAAAACTGTCAAATAATATAACATTCGTTACAAAAATCAATAATATTTTCGTACGATTCTTTAATTTAGAATGCATTTAATTGTTTATATTCATTTTTAATTTAGCAATTTTCGATTAAAAATAGATTAATTATTAAAGTTTTGAATAATCCATTATTGTTTGATTTTCTATAGACAAAGAAAAAGTATCATCTTTGTTCTTATAGAAAAAAAGCTCTGTTAGCACAATGTTTGTGAGATTAGAATATGAAACACAATAGAGCTATCAGTGTTGTAAAAGAGGAGTAATAAATATGAATTGTATTTAAATTTATGAATTGCTACCTACTGTTACAACATGTCAATGATGAAAGATATTGATCGTAATATATTGCAGTGACTATCAAAGAAAAGTAAAGGACAACTAGCATACTAGCCTAGTAGTGATTCTGAATACGGAGTTATGTCAGTCACATCTGTAACGAGAAGGGGAATCAAAAATTTCTGCCTCTACATCTCAATACTTTTCTTGGATCTTGTGTGACAGTCGAGCGTTCATTATAAAATATAGTTTAAGAATTTTTTGTCAATTGATTTGACAACAATTTTGTCTAAATTATGTTCAAATTACTTAATTCATATCAAAATTAGCGACGAAAGTATTCTAATTTCTTATAAAAAAATTAAAGAAACTTTTTTTTCTATATGGTAGGATAATAAAAACAAAGCTCGACATTTGAAAAATATTTGATCATTGTTCAACTAATATCATAATAATAAAATTTCGATAAAAAAATGTTTCTAATGATATGTGATAGTATCATTAGATCACGTTTTGTCTTTGATGTGTATTCTCTTCTTTACTTATGTCTTCTCTAACACCTAGCCATCTACATATAGTTGGATATAGGACAAAGTAGTGTCAATACAAGAAAAAAGAAATACAGAAACAAGTTCATCAAGTTCTTAGTTCCCTAAATGTTTGAAATAATCGGCCTGTTTATTTCTACTTAGATGTATTCGTTAAATTCAGTTATCGAGTGTTTTCTTTTGTATTCTTCTTTATTTAAAGAGTTCATGAACTTGTTTCCAGTACAATGCAACGATTTTGAATTGTTTGATATTGTTTGATTAAGTCAACTCATGAAAAATCACATGATGATACCAGAACCGGGAATTTACCTAATAAAAAGTTTGATAAACTTGTTTTTGTATTTCTTTCTTTTTTGTTCAGCTATATCACTTTTTCTACATTCTACAATGGATAGACATCTAGACATGAGAGAAGACAAGCAAAAAGAAGATACACATTAGAGACGAAACATGATCTAGTATTACCATCACATATCATAATCAACAGCTCTTATCCAAAATTTTATTATCTTGATATATTAGTTGAACAATAGTTAAATATCTCAGACATGTAGAGAATTGTTTTTATTATCCTATCATAGAGAGCGGAAGTTTCTTAAGCTTTTAATAAGTAATTAGAAAATCTTTGCCACTACTTTTAGTATATCCTAAGTATAGTATGATGTTAATGTAGTGATAGAAATATGTATTTTGCATGAGTTAATCTGATTCTAAGTATTTTTACTTGTTGTATTTCAATCGTTAAGGTAGTTAAAATTTTGATCTTTATACTTCAGATTATATTTTCTTGTTTGTTTTAACAAAATATATAAATAAAAAAATTTCAATTAAATAGAAAAAAAGCATAACTCAGACACATGCATATATATAATCTCATTGCTAATAAAAATATAAAAATAATTGTGTCAAAAAAGTAACAGATGACACATACTAGGTGTCAAATAATATTTTGCCAGGGGGGTACCACTATAATTGCAAATAGAAGACATAATGAATTTTATATAGAATGAAAGCTCGTCAAAAATGGAGTTTATTGATATTAAATAGTAAGGATTATGAATACTTTTTAACATCGAACTTAAGAAACTTTCAGAAATTTTATACTTTTTTTGCGGTGGAAAAGTAAAGTACCAGTAATTGAAAAATGGATTAAAATGCTTTTCTTGGATATTTTTGCATGGTTTGATAGAACTCATCGAGCTCTACAAAACTGTATATATTAAAATTTTTTTGAGTGTTTTTTTATGGTAAAAAATTCAAAAAACTATTTGGAAACTCTTAAAAAATGTTAAAAAAGTCATATTTTTGATATGGAAGAAAAACACTCGAATTTTCAAAAAAATTTGCTTTTTTTTGATTATTTTTACTTCCTCAGGTGTTTCGAAACATGTTCATTCAATGTAGTTTTTCACCCTGCATCGAATGAGTATATTTTCAAACATTTTACATAAGGATACTAATGAAAAACAGCTGAATTTAGTGTAAAAAAGACCACATTTTTTTCCCCATAAAAAGTGTAAAAAATGCGAGTTTTTTGGTACACTCTTTAGACAGTTTTCAGTGAATTTTAACCCAACATCTCTGATTAAAAGCTTTTTCATATATACAGTTTTGTAGAGCTCGACGAGCTCTATCAAACCATGCAAAAATATCCAAGAAAAACATTTTAATCCATTTTTCAATTACTGGCACTTTACTTTTCCACCGCAAAAAAAGTATAAAATTTCTGAAAGTTTCTTAAGTTCGATGTTAAAAAGTATTCATAATCCTTACTATTTAATATCAATAAACTCCATTTTTGATGAGCTTTCATTCTATATAAAATTCATTATGTCTTCTATTTGCAATTATAGCGGTACCCCCCTGGCAAAATATTATTTGACACCTAGTATAATGCATAATATTAATGTTTAATTATAGAGTTTTTGAAATATTAAATCATAGATTTCTGTCCAAATTCTCAAAAAAAAAAATTAAAAGTATTTGTGTCTCACTTTTCCATGAATTATATGTATCATATAAACAATAATTGAAAAACGAAAGTTTGAACTAAATTCTCGTTCAATATATTCTGGTCGTTGAATAGATAATGATTTTTTCTGACGTTCATTAATAACCTCATCAAGTTTAACCACAAACTTAGCAGTTCAATCAAGAATAATTTTAACCTCATAACTGATTCATTAATTAATTAATTAATTACAAAAAATAGAAATGAAATTTTATAACTAGGATACATACTAATGACTATACCGAAGTAACATGACACAAAGTAATTGAATACAAGATGATCCTATAGTTCGATCTCGTTTTGATGCTTCATTTGGGCTACAAGAATATGCAACAGGCATTTTTGATGATAAATCATTGTCTGTGACACCTTCACGTTCGCTACGTTACATATGTTTCGACCATTCTGATCGATATGCTTGAATAAGAAATAGGCGTGATTTTCCAACCCAGATTGTTGTTGATGAATCAACATAACGTTTTACAATATCTCGTATAATAACATCTTGTGAATCAGCTGTAAAAAAACGAATGGAAAAGTCTGCGAAAAAATAAATAAATCATGGATGGTAAAGAATCTAAATATCTTACCCATGAGACATAATAAACACAATAAGACACTCATAGTTTCCAAATTTATCTTGATTATCACTTTCTTTTAATGGTTTATCAAGATCACCTTTTTTCTCAAATCACGTTTACACTGTAATACTGTAAATTTTAGTTCACGAAAAACAGTTTTTATCAGATCGACATCTTTTTCTAATCCTGCTCGTGTAGATGTCTGATAAGAACAAGATGAACTAAATGCTGTGATATTAATTATTACATATAAACCTTTTTCTAGCACATTTGATGGTGACGACTGTGCTGATACCGGTTGTTGCATAATCGGACAACATACAGATACTTCTTGAATTTTTTCTACAGATGATGAAACTAAAACTATTATTTAAAACGATTTTTTCTTTTGTATTGAAAACAAAAAAGAATGTTTACTTGGTGATTTTATTTGTTCACGATTTAGAAATAAAAATTTTGTCATCAATAATAATGAAACTAAACAAGGAGGATTTTGATATATTATAGACTCTGTTTCGTATCATTATTTTTATTATATAGTAATATTTTATAATGTTTTTCAAATGTGATTATAAAATCTTTATCTTTTAATAAATAATTGAAAAGCTCGAATAATTCGATCAACATCAACCTTGTGCGTTGCAAAAAAAATGAACATTGAATTAATAAAGAAAAAGATTTCGGAAAATTTTCACCTAGCTTTATATATATATCAAGTAAACTATCAATAGATTGTCGAATTTTCAATACAAATTTTAATGACTCTAGTTGTTCTGATGATATAGAATCACCGACATGTGCTAATAAAAATCAATATGCTAAATTTAATTCATCATTAATAGAAAATTTTATATTAGATTTTAATTGCTTATTATGATTGTTCATAACTAATTCAGATAAATATTTTTCTTTAGTGTATCATTATATTTTGCATGATAGTCTTTTCTAATAGTCAATGAATTTTAAAATTTTTCTTTTAAATTCTTTGATAAAACAAGTAACTGTGTACAAGCATCTTGATAATGAAAAAATCTTACAAGTAAATTAACACATTCACTGTCAAATTGTCCAAGTGTTGATGAGCATTGTTCAATAAATTTTTTTGTTATATCTAACATATTTATAAATAACTGTTTATTTTTAATTTTTTTTATTATCTTCTCTTTTCGTCTTCTATCTTTAATTGAAGCTCTGTTTTTGTTTTTTGTTTTTTTTTGAAATGAAAGAAAAACGAAGAACTTTTGAGAGTAAAAGAACTAGAATGAATAACAATCAACGGTCGCCGAAACTACATACACAGTACGCATCGGGAAAATTTGCATAAGAAGAAAATAAGACAAACAAGAAAGAAAGAACAACAAAAAGAAACGAGCATTATTTGTCTTTATAGTTTGGCAAGGAACTGAATTACACAACGATTGTATAACATATATAAAGCTGGAATTCTAAACGTATTTAAATGCTAGATAATAGGTCTAGCTACGTGTGGCTAAGAACTATTGAATATTTTACTGACGACTAGATTCAACAAAAGACACAGAAAAAAGAATATGTACCACATAGCACCACGTTTAGCATTCGTCGCATGTTCATTAAGTCTTTATTCATATATATATATATATAATTATAGACATGTCGATTTTACAACAGCAAGCAACACAGTTACATCATCGGGTTTTCCACCTAAATTAAACAAAATATATAATTTAATACGGAACTCTACAAAACGAATGAGTGAGAATACGAAATTAGTCGGTTTGATTAGGTTAAGATTTTTTTTATTCTATTTGAAGAACTAGGAGGACATGCTCTGATTAATTATTCTATTATTTAATCATATTTTGAAAATTTTATTACTGTCCCTAGTCAGCTGTTTGTTCCTTTAATCATGAATATGTTTATTTACTTTGGAGTGCATGCGTGAATTATCCAATTAATAAAATACTTTTAAATATCTTTATTGTCAGAGAATCTCATAAGTAAAGAACAAATAATTGAATTTTTTTAAATTAATCACTTATCAAACAGAAAAAGTTCTATGATAATAAATGGACAACAGTTTCGTATATCTCAGTTTAAACTAACAAAAAGATATTTCAGGATTAATTGATTGCACTCTGAATCTATTTAGAAGAAAATGAAACATACCATGAAAAGCTTTGCTAAACGAAGAAAATTTTCAGGAAAACAAAAGTTTTCGTTAATAACTACCAAATTATTAGAAAACAATTGGTACATTATATCAGGAATGATAAAAGAAAACATTTGCTTGTCAAACAGATTTTTTCTGTTGCTTATTTTTACGTTATTATTTGTTTATAATAAAAAATAGGCAAAGTCATTAAATTGTATTTAAAAATATAAATGGGCTAATATTATTATTGATCTGACAAAAACTACTATTATTAATCTATGACAAGAGAAAACAAAAACAAAATTAATCTTCTTTCTTTACCACAAATATTAATTCCCAATGATCTTTTAGCACTTCGAGCAAATGGTGAATAGAAATTTGGATCATGACCATTTTTTAATGCACGTTTAGCTAAACTGTGTGCTATTCGTTGTAAATTATCCAATGTTGGCTCCTAGAAAGAAAAACAATAATAATTCAAAAAAGAAATTTATATTCTGTATTTTACTCTCAAGAGATTTGCTGCTCATCTGCTGTCGTTCTCTTTTTTTCTTTTCCTCTTTTATGCTCTTTCTAATCAAATTCTGTTTACAACATGCTGACAAAACGACGGCTTATGCTAGTAACATTTCTCGCATGTCAATCAACTACAATCGGAAACAGCGCGATAGTGTATACAAAAAAAAAGCCCAGATAACATAGTTTTCCTAGTGTCGGCTTCAATCTTATAGCAAGATCCAGCACTATAATGAAGATGATGAATGAATGTCAGACATTCTATGTATATAACGCTTCGTGTCTTCTTCCTTGATGTATCAAAATAACAATCTATCAGCTGCCTGTAAACCATATATCTAAACGGTTCGTTTTAGTAAATATCACATTAGCATAAAAAGAAAAGCAAGTGTAAGTGTCGATATATAACTATACATATTACGTTATGAATATACACATTCCAAAATGGATTCTTGCTGCGTTTGTTGGTGCAGCTCCAATGCTTGGAATTGTATTTTTTATATTATTTTCATGTACACTACTTGGTCTTGTACAACGATGTAAAATAAGTTTAACAAAATCATATGCAAATAGAAGAAAAACTATAACGAATGATCAATTATTTACTGAAAATGAAAATATTAATCCATTAACATTATTTACATCCACATCAAATACACTTATTGTTTCACCATTTGATGATATACCAATGAAAGATATTGATGCTGAATCATCATCAAAAGCATATTCAGAACCAAAAGGTAATTTATTTATTTTTTATTCAATTTTAAGAAATTTATTTCTATCGAATCTTTTCTTTTCTTTTTTCTCCTAAGACATTTCAAATTCTTCAAAATTTCGACGAAAACGAAGTACGGATCCTTCTCTAACAGGATCTGATTATGATAATGGCTCATCGAGTGTTTTTGATGATAATGATTATGAACAAGATCGTTTATCACTGATCGAAACTTCATCGCAACGTAGAATTGGAATAAAACAACAAAAGTCGCCCGATACAATAATTCATATTTAAGACTAACTTACTTTAATTTGTTTAATTTCTTCAAGTATTGTAGCATCAGGTAAATTATCCCATAGACCATCTGTTGCAATAACAATAAAATCATTTTCTTCAACATCAAACGAAGTCACTGATGCTAAATCGGGACTGGAAGACAAACAAAAAGAACCATATAATCAATTACATAAACAATTTTTTTTCTAATTTTCGTGGAGCTCATATCTACTTTTTGAAGAAACTAGTGAGTGTAAGTTAAAATCAAGACTTTTGCAACTCCTGAGCGGTTATTGTAATGTATTTATGTATTTTTTTTTTGAGATTTGTTGACTTGATTCAAATTAACGGATTTATCTGTTGATGGCATATAATCAAGACTGTGGATAGGTTTTTTTAGTGATGGACGCAGCTAAAAATTTGACTGACAATCAGAGGCAGTCTATCTTGTAGAAAGTGAGTGAGAAAAGCAACTTTCTAAAATCTAGCAGTCAATTTTCCAGTATGAGCTTGAAATTTTCGCAGATGCGACACACTAAATAAGAGGAACTAGCCAACGTCATCCTCTTCCACATCAGAACCTATGCATATAATGCATTTTACCTGTACTAAAAGAAAGCCAAAGTACAGAAGAGTTAGCTATGAACCTGAATGTTATTTCTATCCTTACCCTCAACAAGGTACTTGTCTTCGACATAATGTCTTCTGTGTGATGATAAAATATATGGTAGGAGTTTATAGAAAAATCTCGGAAGTTGCTGAAATAGTGATGTGTTGATTAGTCGCAGTCATCATGTAAGCAACATAAAAAAGTGTTCACCGATCAAGTTAGAACTTTGGGAAATAGTTGATATCAGTATTTCTGAGCTTATCAAGATAACTAATAATGCGTTGAGAGGCCTGCTATAGATATCATCGATATACAGAACAGACAGATTTGCCAATTGGACGAAAGGTTAAAATAATAAAAATGTTAAATTAAGAAAAACAGAATACGAAAATAAGAGCAACAAGATAGACAAAAATATAAAGTGTCACTAAAAAAAAACTTCTGTTCGAAATGCAGAAATAAATAAACAATATCAGCTGCCTGATAATCGATTATCCTCGAAGAACCACAATAGGTTAATAAAGATTTTTCCCTTGACGTATCTTGTATTACTATAATAAGGTTAAAGAACACACACAAGTGAGTTCCACATTTTATTCCTAAAGGAGATCCGCTGAGAAGTGTTCTATTGAAAAAAAAATAAGGCGACAACAGTAACATTATTTTTTTTAATGCAAAAAGCAACAGAAATTGTTATTTTTTTCTTTCCTCGATACATTTACCTATGAATATTAATTATTAGTAGTCGAAAAAAGAAAACGTTAATCTTATGATAACATATATTCTCTATATAAAATTTAATTGAAAAAAAACAGGATAAAATAAATTCTTTTTTTTTTGTTTTGTTCATACCTATCAGCAATTAAACGTGGATCTTTAATTGTTGGATGAATAGCTAATTGAAATGGTGAATTAAAATAATGTTGTTGCTCTTGTGATCGATGTACAATTGTATTTTTTCTTATAACAACAAAACCACTGTCACCTAAATTAGCTGTATGTAGTATTCTTTCTTCATTATGTAATGCAACAATGCATGCTGTACTACTTCCTAAATGAGAAAATTTTTTGTTTTCTTTTTTTTTTTTTTTCTATTTGTAAAATAATTTTTATTACCAATAATACATTGTTTATCTTCTAATAATTGTTTATAACCTTTGGATAATAATTCTTTTAATGTTAGTGGATTTAAATCAATAAGTTTATTATCAATTAATGATTTACATGCATCCATTAGTGAACGTGAAAATAAGGATGGATCAATACCATGTTCACGCCAACCGCCAACACCATCGGCAACGCCTAAATATTGAGTAAACAAAAAAAAAATTGTATTCAAAGATTTTTTTTTATTTTTATTTATTCAAATAAATAATAAATACCAAGAAAATCTCCTAAACGATGTTTTGTTATAAAAAAAGCATCATCACCATATACATTTGATGGATGTGGTTTTTGTTCTATTAGAGAATTTCTTCGTTTTGTTTTTGTTATACATTCATATTCATTATTATCATGACTTGAATAACCCGATGAAACAGTGACTAGATGTACAGCATGTTTAATTGCTGTTGATGGATATGTTATAGCAAGACTATTGGAAGATTGTGTTGCATGCACAGAAGATGATGATAAACGTAATAAACCATTGAAAAGAATATGTTCAGCTTCTGTACTACTAATAGCACGTGCAAATAATCGAGCATAAACAGATAATGATTGCATACTTAAAGTAAAATTATCTAAATCAATAATTAAATATTAAATTAAGAAATGAAAAAGAAAAACAAACTTTGAAAGAACTTTGGACATCGGTAATTGATTACCTAAAGTGAAAAAAATTGTATTTTATTTTATTTCTACATGCTTAAGCCTACTGTCAACTTATTTTGTTTGATCATAGGAAAAAAAAGACGCTGAAAATGTGTTTTTTTGTTTTCAAGTACCACTTTTTCTCTTTTTTTTGTTCTATTCGTTTGGTAACAAGTTTTGTGGAGTGCTGCAGCAACAGCAACAGCAACAGTATTTTGTATCACTAATGTATTGAAAAAAATTCTTTCTCTCTCGTTCTTTTGTTTTTACTTTTTTCTCTGAGGTCAATCTATGCATTAACAAATAAACGTCTATATGCTTGTAGCCAATAATCAACACACAATATCTAACTGAACTATTCAATATGAGAGAGAGAGAGATTGGTTACTTTCGAAAAGAAATTTTCATGTAAATAAATAGAACAAAAAGAAACAGCATAGCAATATATACGTTTGCAAGTGATGAAATAATATGCAACCTGTGCATCAACGATGCAAAATATTTCAATATGTATGAAAAGTACACTTCAGCACACAGATGTATCAATAGATATGTATACATACATACGATTATTCTGCCAGCATAGCAACGTATTTATTTTCTTCGATATATAAAAATACTAGAAAGTTTATTAGCTGTTAAGAATTCAAAGTATTGATAAACAATAATATTCTTCTTCCAAATGACAAATAGAAGAAGTAATTTATACTATATATATGCTGTTTTTAATGATCCTGTCATCACCTCGAATTATAAGAGTTTCATCGTATAGACCATTTCACACATATTTAAAAAAAAAAGAGAAATAAAACCTTAGGGAAGATATGTTTTTCGTATGTCTCAAAAATTAACAAACATTGCCTATTAATAACGTTGAGTTCTTCTTCTTTTTCTTCTTTTCACAGTAAGACATCTCGTTAACACGTGCAAATACAACACTTCAATGTTATGTTTTCTGCATGCCAGTAGCAGCAGAACGATAGAGAGAAATGTGTAAATAAATATGGGTTAATAATAGACGCTGTCGGAACAAGTATATTTGCTTCTATATAATGTTCTTTTATATGGTATATATGGATGCATACCAAGCCTCCTGGTGAATAATCTCATTGAAAACAGCTGTATATATATATATTCACTATGAACGTCAAAAGAATCAATCAAACGAATATGTTTTAAACATATGACAATTGATCGATCATGCGTAATCTTATATTACTATGAATAGTTGTTATTCAAAATGAAAAAGAAAATGATAATCAATTGATACTAACCTGAATACTTGGAGATCGGCTAGACAATGAAATTCACACTGTATAAATTTAACTTTCACGATTACAAACAGATCTAAAATATCAATGATAGAATTTTTTTTTATAGATCAACTATTCGAATGATAATAAATTTTTTTATGTTAAGATGAAATAAAGTTATCTATTCATTCTCTGCTAGATTGATCGATCAAAGAAAAGAAAAATAAAACACAAAGAACATCATCATAGTACGTTCTCTGCTAACAAGGTACTCACGTGCTTTCTCTTGTCATGCTTATATGATGAAGTTTGTTTCGTAATATTTTTTTGTCCTATTTGAAAAAATAATTACGTCATTACTATCAAGCAAAAAAAGACAAGAAAGAAAAAAAAAGAAAAGATGTATAACTATAGACACTTGACCTCGAATAGTGTACGATAAGAAAAAAAATAAATAGCATCAACTTAGTCAGGAGTTGTATTTTGTATGATTCGTTTTATCTTATTGACTGAGTCGTTTGATCATTAAATAAATAACAAATATATATATATAAAGACTTATGCTCAATAGTATAGAATAAAATTAGTGAAAGTAATCGAAACTTACATACTTATCGAATAATAATCATGCTTAACATATGTTCAAAAGGTTAGAATAAAGAATTCTTTTGTCTTCTCTAATCCAACCCTGTACAGCCATTCACATAGTACAACGACAAGAAGCAATACTATCAAGTAATGACAAGAAACAGAAGGTTGTCTGATTTATCGACTCGAGTGCAATGAGGAACGGAGAACAAAAAAAAAGCACATTACTTGGTAAAAATGAAAGAAAAAGAAAGAATACATGATGGGGCAAAGTACACTCATTGCTAGTCGGCATAATAGGATAAAAATTCCGAAATAATGAAAGACAAAAAAAAAGAAAAGGGCGAATACCTCAATCACATTATCAATTTAAATTATACTAATTCTAAAATTTCTTCTATAAATCATAAATAAATAAATAAAATGTTATCGACCTGTTTTTTTATTCACCTACAATAGACAAATAAGAAGGAGAGAAGAAAAAACAACAAGCGAAATAACAATTATTATTAAGCATATTCTCACATACACAATTAACAAAAAAGAAATAAAAACGAGGCAAATAAATAAAAAGCATGGATGCAAAATATGTTTCTTTTTTCATTCGATTTTTTTTAATGATCTATACAAATTATAAATCAACTTTTTTCATTTTATCACTATCATCATCATCCAAATTGATGTCACTAAGATCAATGTCTTCAACAATATCTAATGTTCCATCTTGACCATCCCATGGTTCACTATCAATAATAGTTGGCAATTTTCCTTCAGCTACACCATTTAATGGTACAAGTGGACTGGTTAAACGACCAGCCGATAATTCTTTTAAAAATGAACTTATACCCATTTGACTGAATGCACCTTTTAAGACAACATATTTTCCTTTGCGTGCATTAATAGCAACTTGTGCTGGATAACCAAAACCTCCAATACCAACGGAATCTTCAAGTTTTTGTTGACGAAATGCTTCAACCCATAACCAACCCCAACGATTACGTTTATAATTTTCAGCAAAATTTTTTAACATTGTTAAATGTTCATTACGACATGCTGATTGACAATCAAGAATATTCGGTAAAAATGATATTATACATAATTGTTTTTCTGCACAATTATCATCTAAAATAGCTTGATTTGTTATTTCAAGAACATCCGGTGCTGGAACATTTGCTTGAAATTTATCTAATGCCCATGCAACAATATCCTATTTGAAAAGAAAAATTGTATTTTGTTTTGTTTTGTTCATATGAATAAATAAATAATAACATACACTTGATGTGCGTCCACCATCATATTCTTCAGCTTGACCATCTTTTCTACCAGATGGAAAAAATTTTATTGTTGGAAAACCTTGGACTCCATATCGTTGTGCCAATTGTGTATGAACAGTTGCATCAACAACACCTAATTTTACTTTGCCTTTAAGCTCCGTTGCAGCACGAGCCCATTCGGGTGCTAAATTCTTGCAATCTATCAAACATATGCACATATATATAATTTAGAAGAGATTATTCTACACTTAATACTTACGGCCACACCATGGAGCCACTAAAAAATAAAAATGAAAAATAATTATTAATTCAAATGTCAAAAGTTATTTTTATCAAAATTAATCTAACAAGAAAGTTTTCATTTCAAATAAGATTATAGATCGTTTCAATCTTTTATATATGTATACTGAAATCTTCGATCATAGTAGCTAGGTACGTATGGAGCATCTATATTTTGCTAGATAGGTTATTTCCAAAAATTTTTATGTGTATTTAAAATGTCTGAATCAAATTTAACCAGATGCATACTAATCAAAAAGAAAATTACTTATTATGTTTTTCCTTGACATGTCAATTCGAATACATCTATTACGAAGATAAATTTTGAATAAAAATTACATGCTCGACTGATTTGTTATTAAATTTGAAAAAATAGCGAGCAAGGAAATCGAGTCTGACAGAAGTTAAATTATTGATCAAAAGAAAAAAAAACTTACTGAATTCAACAAGCCACATATCTTCCGAATCGATAACTATTGACTAGAAAAGAAAAAAACCGAGTTTAAAAACAAAAGTAATTCAATTTTGAAAAATAATTTACATCAAAATTACTATCTGTTAATTCAATTGTGTCTTTTTCTCCACTTCCGCTGCTACTACTTCCACCACTACTACCTCCAGTTCGTTTACCCAAACGTTCATTTGCAATCGTTCTTAATTGACTAAGAGCTTGTTCAACGATAGCATCAGCTGTTCGTCCACCTTGATAATTTGTTGGAGATCGTTTATTACTTCCAAATATTTTTATTGTTGGAAACCCTGATATTCCATATTGTTGACCGAGTGATTTATGTGTATCAGCATCAACAGCACCAATTTTAACACTACCTTTTAATGCTGTTGCAACACGTTTCCATTCGGGTGCTAAATTTTGACAATCTAAATTTTTCACAAAAAGAAAACAACAACCATTATAAAATGAAACTAACTCAATAAATTAGATACTTACGACCACACCATGGTGCATAAAATTCTACAAACCATAAATCTGAACTTTGCATGACAAGACGATCAAAATTAGATGAATCAAGTTCAATAACATCATCACTTGAACTGTAGAATCCATTTGTTGTAGAAACAAGAAAACCAATGATGAAAAAGGCTAAACAAGTATGCATTTTTTATCTTATCTAGAATGTTAATTGAACGATGTAGAAATGAAATGAAAGGAGAGAAAAAGAGACTTGATGATCTAACTCTAATCCTATCAACCAACATTTGAATTACACGATCTTGTTTTCTCTTTCTCTTCATTATCTCTCTTCTATTCCCCAATCACGATTCAGCGCGTTTGACCGATGTCATGGACCTATGAAAAATAGTTTTCAAACCTCTACTATGATGTCATTAAGAAAACATACAAACATTTAAGGTTTTGAACATTAGCTTATTTAATTTTTCTGTATTAATTTAATTCGGAAAGAAAATCATTTAGCTTAAAGTCTACTTTTAAGACGTTGAGTGTAACATTTTTTATGATTGGTTAAATTTATATAGTCAACTCATAGATGTAAATAAACAAAACTAAATAATCTATATATAATATCCTGCATTGGAATAGGAAGATATTATCCATTTTACTTTTGGTTTTTATTTATTTATTTTTTTTCAGAAATTCGAATAGAACAAAAAGAAAACAAGCAGGAACAAGATGAACAAAACTCCAATTTTACTTGGTTCACTTATTTCAAAAATTAGCCCCAATATTATTCGTTATGCATCAGCCGCAAGTGCATCAACAGCTGCTGTATGTTATCAATATTACTCTATCGTTAGTCTAAATTATGTTTTTTTTCTATTTTAGCAAAAAAAGGTCGCCGTTCTAGGTGCTAGCGGTGGTATTGGACAACCACTTTCTTTATTACTTAAATTAAGTCCATTGATCAGTGATTTATCACTTTATGATATTCAACATACAAAAGGTGTCGGTGCTGATCTTAGTCATATTGAAACACGCACTAAGGTGAAAGCCTTTGTTGGTAAAAATGAATTATCTGATGCACTCAAAGGCATGGAACTTGTTCTTATTCCAGCCGGTGTACCACGAAAACCAGGTAAAACTAAATTGTTTTATTTAATAAAAGTAAAAATTCTTTCTTTAAGGAATGACACGAGATGATTTATTCAATACAAATGCAACAATTGTTGCTGATCTTGTTTCTGCTTGTGCTAAAAATTGTCCACGAGCTGTCATTGCCATTATTGCAAATCCAGTTAATTCAACAGTTGTAATTGCATCGGAAATTATGAAAGCACATAATGTTTACGATGAAAAAAAAGTTGTCGGTGTTACAACATTAGATGTTGTTCGTGCTGCAACATTTATTGCTGAAGCTAAAGTTTGTTTTTTGTTTTGACAAATCTTTGTGTTTTTTTTTAAATTTATTATTCTTTATGTAGGGTCTTGATCCAGCAAAAGTTAATGTTCCAGTTATTGGTGGTCATTCAGGAAATACAATTATTCCATTACTTTCACAAACATCACCACCTGTTTCATTTTCTCAACAAGAATTAGAAGCTTTAACAACACGTATTCAAAATGCTGGAACAGAAGTTGTTGAAGCTAAAGCTGGAGCTGGTAGTGCAACATTATCAATGGCACATGCCGGTGCAAGATTTGCATTTGCTGTTCTTGAAGCTTTAAGTGGTAAAGAAGGCGTTGTTGAATGTGGTTATATAGCATCACGAGAAACAGAATTTAGTTATTTTGCTACACCACTTCTTTTTGGCGTATGTCTATTTCGTCGTTTGGATTTTATTTTTGAAACTTCTTTTTTTTTTGTTTTTAGCGTAATGGTGTTGAGCGCAGTATGGGTGTTGGCAAACTATCTGATTTTGAAAAGAAATTAATTGAAAAAGCCAAAAAAGAACTTAATGCAAACATTCAAAGTGGTGTTACATTTGCTAAGCAATATTTATCCAAAACGCAATGATTTCAATAGAGAAAAAAAAACTGGATTCTATCATAATTAATTTTCTTTTTTTTTGTTGTTGTTTTATCACTATAACCTAAGTCTAGCATTGACATCCATGCTTTGTCGTCTAGAGAGTAGCCCTTCAATAAAGAAAAAATAAGGAAACTATATTCAACACACTAGCGAAATCTTTTGATCTTTAGATTAAAATAAAAACTTTCAAAATAAAAGAATAATAAAAATGGTACGATTAAATGTTGATCAAATGAGCCGTTATGTTAGTCCAGTTAATCCTGCTGCTTTTCCAACACTTAGTATAGTTTTATTGGGTACATTAAAAAAATCTGTAGAAATGGCTTGAAGTAATAAGTTTTATTTATTTAGGTATTGGCATATTTTTAATGTCATGGTTTTTTGTTTATGAAGTCACGAGTACAAAATATACTCGAGATTGGAAAAAAGAAATTCTTATTGCTCTGTATGTTGTATTTTAATGTTTGTATGAAAATAATTGATGTATTATTTTATTTTAGTGTGGCATCAATTTTCCTTGGTTATGGTGGCCTGTTTCTTTTACTCTGGGTTGGAATATTTGTTTGAATACGTATGAAAGAATGACTAATTGTTGAAACATGAAATCTTATGGTTGTTTTTTTTTCTTCTTCTGTTTATTATATGAGTCGATTCATTTGTTGTTATTATTTTGGGCTTGTTGATCATCGTGTTTTTTTTTCTAATTTAAAACAAAGTCTTATTACCTGTTTAAAGCAAAAAAAAATTTCTCGTGACTTTTAGATTATTAAAAAACAAAAAAAAAATCATTTTTGTTTTAATGTATATATTAAACAAACTGTACATATTCAATGAAAAGGTATGTAATTGACTTAATCAATATAGATCATCAAACGATGTTATTTCTTGGAGTGGCAGCGCCACTAAGAAGTCAAGCCCTTTTAACAATGCTGATCCCGCGTCCGAAAAACTTTGAGAGTTGTTGCTAAGGATACTCCTACAGATGGGCTGAGAAGGGTTGAGCCCCTCATGACTAAGATTCTGACTCCATTACTAGTCTTTTGGTTGTTCAAAAGATGAATTGTTTATTTTTTTCTTTCTAAATAAATATAGATGGAATAAATCACTTGCTAAAACATGTTTGTTTCATTTTTCAAGACAAACATTGATGAAGAGGAAAAAAAAACGGCAGCTGGTTGTATGAGAAAAAGGAAGAGAGAAAACATAACATACTTTGGTCTCTAGAGGTTAACAGAGTGTATTTTAATAAAGAAGCATCTGATGAAACATTTTTTTTTCATATGTTCACATCACGCCTTATAAACGTGACTAGATCGGGACAAGCAAAAGGAGAGAACAATAATAAATGGGTGATCAGTAAAGAAAATGAATAAACTATCATTTGCACATACATCAGTTAATGTATATACGTCTATGTCTACTATTGACCTTATCTCAATGGACATAATTTAATTTATATATAGATTGACATTTTGTATATTTTGTTTCATAGAAAAATAAATAAGATTTTTTTTATTTAGTTTGTTTTCATTTTATGGTATTTTTGTCAAAATAGGTTTATTGACATTTAGACAAGTTTTATTTTTCCGTTGACGTACAACTTTACTTTATCTTTTTTTTATTTGTCAAAAGATTGACAAATGATCAAAATAGAGTATAAAGAAAAAAGGAAAAAGAGCAATATATTAACATTAGCCTTGAGAACCCTTATATAGAGCTCGATCCATTTAAGTGCATTCTTTTAGTACTGATGTAATATGTCGTACGTATTTCTTCTTCTATTCTTTCTTTCAGTTACGATTGGTCTTCTTGATTTTGTTTCTTCTCTATGAGTACAACTAACTTAGGATGTTTTGTGATATTAATATACTTGAATCTAAAGAGAATATGAAAGAAAAAATGTGAATATAAGTCATCATCACATGATGGTGTTTTTTTCTTTGCTTGTTCTTCTCGATTTTTTTTCTCATTCTTTCTATATGTAGCATGCGCTCAGCTGCTGACTGATTGTGTCGCGTTATCGGTATTCTACGCACACAAACGCACATGAGACAACGTATAAGCTACATCATTGGGGTCGTTGATAATTGCGCGCCTGGCTTTATAGAGAGAAAAGGTGACCTGTATATATTTCATATAGATGAAGAATATTGAATTGATGAATGCATATACATCAATAAACTACTATTGCATCATTTTTCGCCTCGCTTTTTTTTTAATCCAAGTCTCCATCGTAAAATATTATTTTTCTTTCTTTCTGATTGTATTTCATCATCATAAATTTAACTATAACTGTTTTGATTTTTAGACGACAAATTATTTTTTAACTATTGTATATGATTTAAATTAATAAAACAAAAATAATTAAGAAGAATTAAAAATGCCTGAAACAATTGGTGATTATCAATATAGCAAACGAGATTTAATTGGACATGGTGCTTTTGCTATTGTATTTCTCGGTCATTCAAAAAGTGTATGTGATTAAAATGAATATTTCTGTTTTTTTTTTGTTCTATATATTTTTTTATTAAATGTTTTAAAGAATCCTGAGCAACAAGTGGCTATTAAACAGATAACAAAAAAACAATTAGCTAAATCACAAAGTTTATTAGAAAAAGAAATTAAGATTCTCAAAGTAAAAAAAATTAAAAGAATCTTTTTCTTTTTAAGTTGATTTTTATTTCTAGGAATTAACTAAACTTAAACATGAAAATTTAGTTGCTCTACTTGATTGCAAAGTAAAACTAACAAAAAAATGTTTTTATTTGTATTATGATTTTTTTTTCCTAATAGGAATCTCAAAACAATGTTTATCTTGTAATGGAGGTTTGTGTTTATAATTTTCTTTTTGTATTTATTTGTATTCAATGAGTTTTGTTTTTTCGATTCAATTTAGTTTTGTAATGGGGGTGATTTAGCTGATTATCTTCAATCAAGACAAACACTGAGTGAAGATACAATTGCTATTTTCTTTCGACAAATTTGTGAGAAATTATTAATTGTCTAATTAATTTGAAATTTAATTAATTGTTTTAGCCGCTGCTATTCGTGCTTGTCATGAACATAATGTTGTAAGTATTTCTTCATTTAAGAAAAACAAAATATTATATTTATTTTTCAAGGTTCATCGAGATTTAAAACCACAAAATATTCTTTTATCGCATCCAGAT